CAGGGTGGACAACAAGGTGTACTGCATGTACTGATGGATAGTGGAGGCCAGTTGAACTGCGAGTGAAAGTGCTCGACCCGGCGGTCCATACGCCTCTGTTGGTTGATGATCGGAGACTCATCCACCTCACAAATGACTTCACTGACACCAGCCTTCCTGAGGCCAGTGGACCGAATGAGTTGGTAAAGCCTGTGGGTGTTGCCAGAGAGAGCAGCAGTCTCCATCTCTAAAGCACGCTCAGACCATCATGTCTCGCGATCCTTGCGTAGGCTTTGCTTGAGCAGCCAGTTGGCAGAACGGCGCCGCTCGTTGCAATCTGATTTCGCGGGTATATCTTTGCGGCGTTCGAACAGCTCCAGAGAACGAGCAGAGATCCAAGACTTCGAAGGGCGTCGAGTTAGACCGCAGCATGACTGTCCGGAAGTGGTCAGCGCTTTCCGTATACAAGTCCAGTGTTGTTCCACTTCTTGCAGTGGATTGCAACTGAATGCGTATGCCAGTGCAGACTGATAGCTCGCCTGGACAGAGGGATCAGTTAATCTGTTTGCATCAATCTTGCGGTGCTTCGTGTTTCGGGATCCTCCAAAACACATACAGATTTTCGCGCAGACCAGAGCATGATCTGAATCAACGAAAGTGGACCAAAACGACCTACAGTCAAGTACGCTGCCGCGCCATCTGAAGCTAATTCCAATGTAATCAATTTTAGACCACGGTTGTGTTGGCGAAAGGGGACGCCTCGTTGCGGAACGCTTCTTCGTATTCCTGAAGTTAGTGCTCGAAAGAAACAGACGGTTGTCCTCGCACAATGTGAGAAGTCTCTCTCCGTTATCAGAGCGGTTCTCATCGAGCGCATGATGACCACCAAGATGGCGTTCGTATGGTAACAGGCGGCCAATCCGTGCATTAAAATCCCCAGCAAGGATAACGATATCCGACTTTTTAGCATTAGTCAAGAGCTGTTGTAGATCTCGGTAGAATTCGTCCTTGACTGAGTCGCCACTGTAGTCATTTGGAGCGTACACGGAGATCACAAACAAATTGCGTCTCTATTCGCGGTGCCTGTTGGTTCTACATGAACCCCGAAGCCGAACTGCACATAGTCGGCTGTTAATCGGGAACCAGTCCAGTAGTGCCGCCTCGGCCTTGCCAATCAGTGCTATACCTACACCAGCCAAACCCGCTGAGGCTGCTTCAGGATCTCCAGAAAGACGCAGGTGATATCTGGCTTCGTGGTCAGTGGGGGATGTCAATGTAAACACAGTGCTGGAATCTTGCAATCGGGTTTCTGAAGGACAGCAGACATCAACATCTAGGGAATCTAGGGTGCGCGCTAGACCGGCTTGCTGTTCATTCTGCATGAGTGTCCGAACGTTGAAGCACGCCAGACGGAACGAGGATCGGGGACGAAGGAGAGCCATAGGTTGAACTTCTTGATCTGCGGAGCAACCGGAATCGCAACTAGATTGTTGAACAGATGAATCGGGTAACCGATTGTTAGCAAACAAACAATTTGCGTGTGATGAAGTAGCGTGAAAGTGAGTAGCAGGAACAGTATCTGATGAGCGCGTTGTAATGCAGTCCATGGTTTTGTGAGAGGGCGTGATACTACCCGGTTGCCCAAGCCGAAGTAGGGAGTTGACTTAGGGGACTCCACCCCGAGCCTTTGGCTAAATAACCTACCCGCAAGACAGCGGGGCGAATTTAGAGAATCGCGCCCATTGGGAGGCGTTGACTGAATGGTCAGTTCATACGTCTTTGTTTGGCAGATTACCAAACAGGGGCCCATACTCCCCATAAAGTCAGCACGCATGCTGGAATACAATGCCTCACGGAGATGGAACATTGTCGCCGAACTCTGCTGGAACGGGGTACACCCGAACCACCCAGCTGGCACCACGAGGAGGTAGTTCGGTAAGGCAGCCAAGAAAATAAAGAAATAAATAACGAAAAGAAAATAAAGAAAACTAAAGGAGATTATGAACTTTTATGCTGACAACAATACAAATTTCGGTGGCGTTCGGAGAAGAGAACAAAACAATGTATTTGCAAAATTGAAATCTTCGATTAGAGAAACACTTATGGGAACTAGTTGCGTGGCTCACATTATCCACAACACATTGCACACGGCAGCTGACCTTCGCTTTGTTGATGTTGAAACAGTTGTGGCAAAAATATATTCTTACTTTTACATCTACACTGTTCTTATTGAAGAACTAAGGGAATTTTGTGACTCTACAATGGTGGAATACCGACGCATTCTAGGATACAACAAAAGCAGATGGCTTCCACTTATACCATCAGTGGAGATAATCCAGAAGGTATTTTCAGTGTTGAAGTCCTTTTTTCTCTCGACAGAAGTGTCCTAGAGTATCATAATATTTCTATGAAACTCCCTGCCCTGAGCTGCGACTTCTTTGTACACAATCTCCCATTTTCCACGCTACTGTACTTTTAAGAAACAAAATATTTCAGCATTATCAAGTCAAGTCAAAGTAAGCTTTATCTACCCGTATGGGTCCATTGTCAGCATTTTTACACCAGCACTGCGGCTTATTAGACAACAAAGCATCATTCAGAAATAATAATTAAAAGCGGTAAACGAAAATTGAACTCTTCATTAGAGCATGCGGTCGCGAAAGCGGAGATTCACTCCTGTTGTGTCGATTAGTAAGCGTGATAGGAAAGGCAATACAGAGTTTCGATGCGACGAGGTACGCGAATATAAAAATTTAACTTTTGTGCCCTTCTGCCATTAGCTGGGATAATACTAAGCACCTACTACACACTCCTTGATCAGGCCAGTTACGCCTGTTGAAACGCCACCACAATTCTACCGCAGTAGCCGGATAATGAGGCACTGCTTTTTCGATTTTGCACGCCTGTCTCCGTTCCAACCAGCCCGACACACCGTATGTATCGATCGGTGAAGTTGCCTTGTGGCGTGCCGTAGGTTGACTCCAACTCAACCATCTGCGCATGATCCAGCGTTTTCACAATGGACAAGACCGGCAAGTACACATGTACCCAGATGCAGGCAAACCGGTCGTTCACACCCATGTGACCGGGTGTGACATTTTAAGATAGACCAACAAAAATCGTTATAAGCGAACGTATCTTTTCGGTAATTTATCATCAGGCTCATACAATTACATAACAATGGAAGTTTGTGCATGAACCCAAGGTGGTTGCCATTCAGTCGATTGCTACTATCAGTCAGCGGCAAGCAACGTCGGTCAGGTGACCGCTGTGGACTCAGCGCGCTCGCACGGTTCAACCACAGTCCGTCCAAGGCAAGGAAGTGCCTGAGTGAGTCTTTTCTGGGTGCACAACTGTGGTTCGTACAGCCGAAGTGCAACTACTTCTACAGCGACTAATATCCGCTTACGGAAGCACTTTGATCGATTTTCAGGGGCTCGATAGATAATTTTGAATGAATCAACCGACTAGTTGGCGTGACTCGTGTCCGCACGACGCATGGCGGTGGCAGAGTTTGTAATTTTGCGACTTCCAGTTCCGAGCCAAGCCGGATGTTACTCCTTCACCTTGTCAGATAAGCGTCTTGCCGTGCGACCAATGTATCCTGCTCCACAGAAACAGGAGAATGAATAAATACACATTAATTTGACGTGGACAGTCAGCTTATTCTTGAGGTTTAGTCTCATCGTTGGGCTGTTGTTGAACTGGATCTGTATCTTCTCAGCTGGGAAGGTACATCTGAGTGTGCGTGAAAGACGGCGGGATAGGACCTCCGCCGCGATTTCTCCTATGTATAGTAGGTATAAGTAGATGCGCTTCCTTTCCACCCTCAAGACTGTTGGTGCCTCCCTCCTTCACTTTGATGAAACTTTCTGGATAGGCATTTTCGCTCAGCTTCGAACGTCGAGAAGTGTATTCTTTGAGCAGATTCCTTCAGCTCGGCTCACTAGGCTACGTATCCAGTTTCGCTTGAGTTTAAGCGACACAAAGCTATGAAAGTTCGCGTACTGTCCGCTCAAAATGCATTTTTTTTGTACACGCGACGTTGGATTACGCCACCATTGCGTCTTCAGGGCTACATCGCGGAAGTGAAAAGCGCCGTCGCCTTCTACTTCGTAGGGAAATTGGATCTCCTCATGAGCCTGGTTGAATTTCTTTGTGAGCTCCAAGTCGGCTGAATCATTCAACATTATCTACAGTTGCGCGTGGGCTGGGTGGACCGTAACATCACCCACACATGCGCGGGTTCGAATCGTTGACCTCCGAATTATCGGACAAGCACTTTATTCTTTCGACCACCGGTCTACTAAAAGGCAGCCGTTTTCCAAACCTAGCGAACTTGAACTAACCGCTATCGGCTTTCCTGGCGCCTACTCCTTTGGACCCCTTTCTATTCCTAACTACACCGGTAATATTCTATTTTGTCGAATTATTGTACTTATCCTTGTTTTGTATTTCAAGGTTCATTTACATCTTGTGACTACTTGCTTTAAAAGGTTTCTCTTGCCTGATTTGGACAGACATTAGTGACGGCGGATTGAGTCTTGTTAAACGCAGTCTTCTTTAAAGCCGCGCCGCTTCAAAAGAGGAGAATGCTGTTCTATCTGCGCATTTTAGTCTTCGCTATTTTGGTGTGTGTGCACGCATTCGAATTACTCATTCAAACTGTTCGACTCTCCCCAGCGTGGTTAGTGGTCAGGGAGCAGGCGAACTCCACATGCGTTGGCAAATAATGGTTTGGCTGATGTCGATTGCCATCCTCCTGCTTCCTACCAGTTAATCGACATCTTACCTAACTGGATGGCTCCGGCAGCTCACAAGCGTACCAATCCGGAAAGGCACCGGACAAGCCTTTCTCCCTATTGAGGCTCATCAATGGTGCGCATTCCGTCGGTCCTCTGCAGGGAACCGAAGCAGTGGCTGCTAGCAGCTTGCACTAGCTAGCTGGCTGGTTGGCCAAAACACCTCAGCTTTCTCAACTCTGTTCCGACAATTATTTTGTTGCCTTTTCTTCATTTCAGTTCTCTCTAAGTCCCCCACAGAATATAAAGCTTTGCAGTGTTACTTGGTTGCCCTTATTCGTACGGAAAAGTACGAGGAATGTCTTGGTTTGATTAAAAAGTACCACGATTTGAGCAGGTGAGTCTGGTTTTTTCCCTCTCACTTTCTTTTTAGCTATGTTCTGTTTGAAAAAGCATATGCCGAATATCGTTTAAACCGTATAGATGAAGCCGTTAAAACTTTGAAACAAGCGGATCCCAATGATTTACGGGTTCTGGAGCTCAAAGCTCAAGTGGTAAGTTTCCCACGACTTAAGTTTAATTCTTCAGCTCTACCGAAAGGAGGAGTTCACTGAGGCGTACACTTGCTTGCGTCAAGTTATTCGTAATTCTCAAGTACGTTACTCATGATCTTTCATATTCCTTTTTTGTAGGATGATTTCGGTGAGGAAAGGCTAACTAACCTAGCCGCCGTAGCGGCTTCAGCTGCTTGCTTTAAGAACGAACGCATAGTAGATACAATATCTCCTCTAATATTTTTTGTGTCAACAGGATTTGGATATAGCGCCGGAAATGCATGAGGCCAAGTTTAATCTGGCATGTCTCTCCATTGGCAAAGGGGACGATTCGAAGGCTCAATCACTGTTGGAAGAAGCTGAAAGTAACATCTTTTTGTCTGTCAACTTCACTTTTATAGTCGTATGTCGTCGGGTCCTCAGAGATGACCCAGAGGTAACTGAAGATGACATCAACGAGGAGTTGGCTCCCATACGGTAAGACAATTTAACCTTCTCATGTTATTACTGTCTTCGTGCTTGTCGATGTCAATGAAGACATTTAAACTTTGCAGTCTTTCTTCTGTTTCTAACTGTCAACATTCCAACCCGATTATTTTTACATATAGTTTTTTAAACTTTTCACTCAATTTCACTCCGGTTTTTCCTTATTTTCTTCGTTTTGTTCACTATCATTACCCTGGCGATGTGGATCATGGTACTCGAATTTCACTGCACTTTAGTATTGAAATCGTGATTATTAATTTACACTAAGACGCACTGCACTTCCCACAGATTAATCGATGTACCGGTTTTTAAGATACCAGATTTTTGAATTTTCCTGTTTGTGAAATCCAAGGTGACACATTTCTTTGGAACTAGTTCATCTCTTGAATCGGTCTTCACGTTACTTTGCGTTACTTTTAGGCGCCGATTGGCCACTTTTATCGTTTTTCAGTCTGGATTCGAGCGCTACTCGACAGTTTACTGGCACTCGTATGTGCAAGCGAAAAATTAGTTCCTATCTTACATTAACTATCACGTAATTTTAAAAATTACCTTACTTGCTGCATACTGCATGGAAACTGAGTAGGACGGATTACCGCTAATATCTTCATTATATTTTCCGTAAATTTTTTATATTAACTATTCCATACTCCCAGGCGGATGCAGTTTAACCGAAATTTGTCCACTTTATTTATTTCGCTACAACATCGATTACTCTTTTACGGTTACAAATCCCTTACTTGGCCACGACATTCGGCTATTTTGACTGCGTTCAAGTTACATACCCTAAGACAACTGTAAGAACAGGCCATACTTGCACGCATCCACGTGTCGCAACCGTTTATAGATTTCTCGTCATACCGAAAAGCCATGGCTGTGAAGGAACGGTTCATAGACGACATGCTTATGCATGCAAAACAGACGTATGTTGGAGCTAGTTACAGATAGCATATGGGCTTTTTGCTCTACGTCCTATGTGGTGGTTTTCTTCTTCATCTCCCGCCGGTTGTGCAAGCTCATTTTCTAGAACCACTCTGATGCGCACGGAGGATTATAAGAGTAATGGTGGTTGTAGTTGCGTGTTCGGCGCCGTTTTTGTGGCACCAAGAGAGGAAGTGAACCGCACGGCTCCGTTTTTTCACAAACCGGACTCAGGTTACTGAACTGCTTGTTTCCTATGCCAGCACACCGACTCCGACGACGTGAGTTATTTGCGCGCCGGGAGTGTGGACGGAAAAAGAGGGAGGGGAGCCAAACGATGAATGCAGACCTTCGCTTCGAAGTTCGTCTCGCTTGGTGCCTCTCGTCCCCCTGGACGATGAACACGTTTGGCTGGATATAGCTAGGGGCTGACCTCACTGGTATTTGTTTTGTGAATTCCTTTGTCCCTCCCCCTCCCGCCTAACCCCCTCATCTCCAACCACTATCTCATTTTGGACACACAATATAACCTTTTGCGACAAAATATCCGGATGTTAACTCCTCGGAGCGATGTCCATCCGTTACTGGTGGCTTAGTTGGCGTGCCTCTGTTATATATTTTTTCTTTTCTTTTGTATTACGGCCCGATAGCTTAGATTTTTTCAGTCTTTAGCTAATTTGTATACTGAGTGAACGATGAACCCACAAAAGGAAGAAAAATCGAAAACATCTATCATCAAGGAGACCTGGAAAATGGGGAAATGATATCGATTTGTTGTTTAAATAAACAGCATGATACCGTTTTTATGCGGATAACAACTTTCTCTTAACAACCAACGTAATAGAAACGTGCGGTATAGATGGGATTGATATGGCCGCATAGCTTTGTGTATTTTCAGTCCTCTTAAACCGGAATTCATGCCTCCATCGGCGCGCCTTATCACCTGATTCTTACTTGAATACACCCAGATATGCCATTTCAGCAACAATAAATCAAACTGGGATGTTACCGTCCGCTGTTCCAACACCTAATCATCCCGTCGTTTGGATTTTATTGAACAGCCCTCTGGGGGTGCTACTTTTGATATGGATGGAGGTTGGCACACTGAGTAGCACCAGACGCTATTTATACTTGCTTACTGTCCAACCAACTACTGACGTAGCCAGCCTCCTGTTACGATTTACTTAGCACTATCATTGGCTACGTTTTAAATTTAGTTGTATGTGATGGGAATACGCTGATAGTCGGCTTAATCTGCTCACTTATTACGCTTTATTTCATGTTCGATCCTTGTTCAAGGTACATAGACAATGACAATCGTGTATAGGAATTCTGTACCAAACATAGGCTGTTCTTAAGCGACACTGTTTTAAAGCACACTAAACACTGATTTGTCACTTTGCGTCTCCCAGTCACTGCTCATTGAAGGACCTAAATCTACCACACTACCACAAGATTTAGATAACATTGCGTCGAACTTGATTTCCACCAGTTTTGGCATACTTGTCGCTATTCTGTTAGCGTCGCTAGTTTTGTTCGACTTTTGTTGATAATTGCAGCAAACGATGCTTTCGAGTGTCGACCGAGAAGCTGTCTTATCTGACGGTTAGGCCAGCCCACATGTTTACGCTGTGGATTTTGTCTTCGAATTCTCACTATCTGGTCACTGAGTCTGTGTGCATTAGGATCTCTGCTACCGTTCATGGCGCTGAATCTTCTGTCTGCAGCATTTTCCACTTCATCTACAACTTTTTATTACACAGTCTGATGTTTCTGTTGTATACCACAAGAATTTCTGTTGACACTAAACCCAACGTGTTCAGACGAAAGAAAAGCGGACTGGGAAACAGTACGTACAACTGATTGGCCTAGTGCTCCCTTCGGCGGTACATATACTAAAATTAGAACGATACAGAGTGGATTAGCATGACTTCTGCACAAGGATGGCACACAAAATCTTGAACCGTTCCATTTATTTTGCCGGCTTGTAGACTTAAGGATCACAAACCTCACTAGTAAAATGGGTGCGCGAGCTCGAACCTGCATAGGTACTGGGCGACCCTTGCAGTATCTCTAACCCATGTGGGGCTGGTGGTGGTTACGCGCTAGCGAAGCGTCGGTACTGTGTACTGGCGTACTGCTGATGGTTTCTGATGGCGACCGCATGGTGGACAGCTAAACGTAACGAACCGAACTGAGGTGTTCCAAGGACTGCTCAATTGTGCTGTCGATAAGGTCTCCAGCCACTGTCCTGTGGTCTCTGTCTACAAACGTGGTTGCTTAAGCCTCTTAGACTGCTTTCATTCCTTTATTCTACGTTACCGACTGGCCACTTCATGGTTTTGCGAACTTGCGTGTAACGACATTTTAGTGTACGCAACAAAGAAGGCTGTCATTTGGCAGTCTCAGAACAAGATCAAACCAATGTGAGTGATTCAGCTTTGATAGCACTCCATCACATCAACTGGCAGATTTTCAGTATCGCTTATCTAGTGATTCCAAAGACGTGAGCGCCGATAAAAAAAGCGGTCAGTCCCCTGCTATTTTCAATGCGAAAAACCTACATTTTTAGTTCAATACGGTGACACGGCACCCTACACTCTACCTTTCATTGGCAATGTAGTATCCTACCGTCTCCATATATGGTTGAGCGTCGGGAAAGCCACATGGCTCCTACTTTTTTAAGTAGTAGGGGGATTTATTGGATATTGTGAAGATTCGTCGCAGTTAGACACAGGCAGACAGCCACCATACATCCAGGAAAGCGCTTTCCTGGATGTGTGGTGGCTGTCTGCTTGTGTCTAACTGCAGCGCATCTTCACAATAACCCCTTCGAATCCGTGAGATAACCTCCTCAATGATGTGACTACCAGTGGGGACACAAAACCAAGGCAAGCGAAGCGATGAACCACTCCCAGTGGCTGTTTGGTGATAGCTAGAACCGGCGCCTTGTCGGCTCTCTCTTGCAACAGTACCACCTGCTTTGAAAGTGCAAGGCACACGCCGCTGCATGCATCACTGCACGTAATCCTATTTAGTAGTGCTTGCATAGCCACTTGACCCAAGGGAGGTTGTGTCGTCCGCATACTCAATGTTAGTTGCTCTACTAGCGCTGTAGAACAGGCCATGTCGAAGCCAAATCTGGTAAGGAATTATTGGTCACCTTTCGTAGAAATCGTAGAAATCCCCAAGACAGTTTCACATGGTTTCAGGGGTCGCGGTGGATAGAATTAGGGAAGAAGTTATCCTGACGCGCTGTTCAAGGATATGCAGCACCAGGGTTACTTCTGAGGTTAGCCGTGATAGGCAGTCAACTTGACGAAGAGGAAGTATCTGTTCAATGTAGCTGCAATCAGGACTGAAACAAGCTTGGTTTTTATGTATTGGGCTCTCACGGGGATCAGTGCTTAATCGAAGAATGCAATTCGTGAGAAATTTGTAAGTATTGGAGATTAGATCACTGCTTCATTTCTGAAAGGTTAGCAGACGACCGACTAATTTATTTGTTATAATGCACAACGTTTCGCGTTTGATTCAAAAGCTTCTGCAGGCGAAGTGAATTGGCTTAAAAGTGAGTGCTTTTTCAACGATCAAGGGTAAGCCATATACATTGGCTGATAAGTTTGTGGTTCATTGGTAAAAGGTCACAACAGTCAAAGGTCACTAGTTTCATGTGAACTCATTGGGTTTAAGCTGGGGTCGAATGGGGAACGAAAATGCTGGTCGGAGGGTAGTTACAAGTATGGTCGGCAATCCTAAGTGGTCCGTTGGTCACTTATAAAACTTGTCTTCGATACTTAGGAATTTGGTAGAAGGGGTGTTGATAGTCCATTCCTGCTTCGGATCCATCCGTCTGCGCTTACCAAGTTAGCCGGAGTAAGACTGAACGCCTGGCACTAGACAGCCCTACTCCGTCTATGCGCCCAATTGTTAGTCTTGGTTATTCCTGTAGCGACAGCAATTAACCTTTGTTAGACTGCTCGCCGTCCCTTGCTAATAACCACAACATTTTTAGAACCAATTTCGTGCCATGTGTCTAACACATGCATTGCTACCGCCGAGTCTCTGAACAGCGCTGTATACTCGAGCCCGTTTCTCCGAAGTCGTGATAAGTGCTGCCTATATTCTGAAGTTCTTCGATGATTTTCACGCGAAAATCAGGGATCGTTTTTAAAGACACGAGTTGTCCATTGGCCCTCCAAAATCATAGTCTGAAAAGCGATCATTATATTTTTTAGTTGATTAAAAACTGTTTTCTACTGCGCACCAACTTCTTGTGTCGCTTTTCCGGTTGTCATCGCCCCTTGTGGGGTCCGCTTGGGGCCAGTAACACTCACTCGTCTTATCTGCGAGCCTCCATCACAGAGATGACTGCTGACAATCACTAGTCTGAAAGCTTTCCTTCAGTGTCCCAAATCTCATTGAATAGTACACATACATCAGTCACCAGTGAAACTCTACCTTGCAGTTGTGGTGGAAGCGGGTTGTGGGGTCTAGTTACCTTGTTTCGTTTCATTAAGGTAAGCTCACGTCGAATCACTTTCAAAGGGTGCCACCTACGTCTCGCACTAGTTTACACGCTTCGCCCAGCGGTAGTGTCACATCACGGCTGCCGAACCGTTTCTCAAGGTTCTCAGCCATTTGATGTAGTTGGTGTGATTGAGGATGGATCAGCTGTCCATTTTTCTCAGCGAACCTCATTAACCGAACGCTTTTTCTCGTTCGTACTCCAGATGGGTTTAAAATGTACTCAGCTGTTCCCAATCTTACTGGTCTTTCCTGCCTCACAAGTCGACCCTCTCAGTCATTCCTTAGAATTCTAGTCTAGTTTCGTTCTGGATACACTCAAACGGTACTCAGTGGAACCAGTTTGCGTGCTTGAATCAATTCACTCCACGCTTCAGCAACCCATCCATTCGGACGTCTCAATTTTGACGGAAAGGATCCTGCAAAAGCATTCTTTATGGCACTCTTTAGATAATTCCACCTACATTCGACTCACCAGCCTCTTTCATCAGTGACAACTGGTTCGTCATGATGTTATGTTTAAATATGTTTTCAGCAGTCTCCGAATAGTCATGGAACAACTAAATACCACAGAAGGGAATAATCCATGGTTCCTTTGGAGGGCGCGATGCTACCCAGTTGTCCAAACCAAATAGGGAGTTCTCTTATGTTGGGTATCTTACCAGCGAGGCGGCCAAAATTAATCATTGGATCGAACCCATTTGAAGCCAATGACTGATTGCCCAATTCGTATGTCTTTCGTTTGATCGGTTACCAAACAGAAGCCCAATCCTTTCCACCATTTCGGCACCATCCCACTGGAATACAATCCACCACCAGGGTGAAGCAACGGACAGTAGTCACAACATGATCAATGTTGGGGTTGCTGAACGCTATCAGAAAATCCATAGTTTTTCCCATTTATATATCGATTATGCCCGGCTTTGAATGGCATATTCAACCTAGCGCGATGGAACTAATGTTATGCTCATGTTACCATTCAACTGTGAGCACAGCCTGGTGCAATTGTTCAAAGCATAAGTCGTTATTCGTTCAACTTTTGTGTGGTCATTTGACTTGCGGCTCATGGGATCAACCTTCAGATCCGCTAATCGCTCGTTCATGATCTCCACCTAACAATCTGACAGTCTTTCTCCACTCGGTAGCTTTTGGCGATTGTATATCAGCTTACACCACCGGTACACCGGTCAGAGTAAAAGTGATCAAAACAGCCGCTCTCCGCGATTACTCCCCTGCACATCCTAGTCTTGCCAACTTGGTACCCAAAATTGACTAGTGCTCAATCACTACTATTCTGTATCCGCGTTCACTGTTCTTTTGCCGTTGCCCATTGTTTCCCTCCTGTCTGTTTCTCGTACTTCCGTGCAGCATCCAGCAGGCCTTCTTGCTTCAGCGTGCCAAGAAGGAAGAAGAAGCGAACCAAATTTATCAATCTGTCACTCGTAACCGGTGAGGCGTTGTACTTTTATCTCACTTGCCAATTTTGGCGTTCCGCTTTTGGGACATTAACCTGTCACCCTTCTAAGCACTGCATGCGCAATTTTCCCACTGTGCTGTTGTGCGTATCTTTTTAATTGGCACATCGTTTTTTGTTGGGAACGTTACTTGTCTTCACCTCCTGTGCGTAAGTGCGGTCATCAGTCTTCTTTTGTTTCTCGTGTTTTTTTCTGAACTTTTTTTATCCCTCACACAAGGTGCTATTCCAGTTGTGTAAGTGCTGAGCCCTTTATGTCACACTTGAACTAGATTTCTTTAATCTGGTAACAATTAATCCACTTTATTTGATTTACTCAGTTCTGTTGTTCTGCTGCATATTTCGTGGCTACAGGAAACTGCTAATCTTTGCTTGGTGGGGGTGAGGGTACACGGTCCTCGTGGCCATTCTAGACTCAAAGTGTGGCTTTATCCTGTACGAAACGGGCTACGGCCCAACCACCGTCTTGTGTACGTCTGGTACGCATGACTTCTCATTTAGGTGTGAATGCTTCCACTCTATTTGTTTCTGTGCTGGCCGGGTCCGTTGATGAAACCTTGCTCCCATCCACATGCCTCCCGGTCTTACGTCCTCGGGTTACGCTGGATATCGGGTGTGTGGATGGGGCTGTGGGTGGTGCGGCGCAAGCCACCCATGGTCTCTCTGTAGGCACATGTGTCCTTTGGCTATCCTATGGGGGTGGCAGTGACATAGATCCGGAACCAGATACCTTCAACCACGTTACGTAAAGGCGCGGTAGTTTGATCCTCCTGTTGCGACGGTTTTTTGCAGCGGTTTCCTTTATAACCAATCCTAGAACTGTGTACGCACTTAGCCTATGTGAACTCGTTAGAGAAGGAAGCCGCACCACAATTGTTACGTTGAATTGACCTTAACGATCTTATGCGCTCTCAGAGTCTGACACTTCTGCTATTCCTCGCTATTCCTGACCCTTCCTCCATAAATCGCAATTGGCTTCAAACTTGTGTCAACGTTTCCAATCTCCGCCGTGAGGATGTTGGCTTACATGCAACATGTTAATCGAAGTCGATACAGGTTTTGTGGTTCTGTTCGATGGACGATGAACCAAAGACGACCCTTTCGTCATCCCTGTTTTGATCTTACTGGCTTCGGCATTCATTGCACTAACTACATTTACTCGTCGGCGACTGCCACTAGTTCGAATCTGGAAGTCAAACACGATAGCGTTGTACACGTTTTATTCACCGTTCTGTTCTGATGGATGAAGACGGCAAGTCTGTTTTTCGCTCGTTTGCTTCGCAGACTCTTGGGTCCCACCGAGTGGCTGTGTTTGTTTCGTAGCTGACCATAGCGACTGAGAAGTGAGGAACGGGTTTCGCACACGTATCTACTCGATCTATCTTTGGTGCAGCTGTGTCAGCGAGCGGTGTCGATACGATAGAGTGTTGTCCTGATACTTTACTACTAGCTTTGGCTGTCCTACAAATTCCGATCGATTGATCAAAGTCGAAATGGTGCTTCCATTGTGTGTCCTCCTTTCACAGGAACGCTGACTCCGCCCTCCTCGCAGTTGCTGCCAACAACATAGTGTGCATCAACAGAGAACAGAACATCTTCGACAGCCGAAAGCGCATCAAAATGGCCTCCTTGGACGGATTGCAACACAAGTTGTTCGCCAAGCAACGGGAAGAAATGCTTCTCAACCAGGCTCTGTTCTATTGGCACACCAATCAGGTACGTATCATTGTGTGTTGTGGTGGTGCGCACCTTTACAGGAATATTTTTGGCATTTTTTCTAAAACTATTTCGATCGCTGATCTCTGAGTGCTCTCTCGAGGATCAGGAAACATTTGCCTTCTGCGTCCGTCAAGTCAGGGTTTCTTAAGTTTTGCATCTTTGGTGCTTCGTCTTTTGTTATGCATTGACAACGAGATGATGGTTGGAGAGAGCGGTTAAACAGTAGGGGGCAGAATAAAAAAGATAACACCGACGTCGTTGTGGTCGGCTCTTTACTATGTCAATAACTGTATCCAACCAAACGTGTTCATCATTTTTGGACCCCAACAATGGAGCCGAGGAGCTCCAACCGAGGCCTCTTGTCCAAGCCATCACTTGGCCTCCCTTCCTTTTATTCCACCTCGACCTCGGTCGCACTAACAACGTGCAACGCAGGAGTATGTGCTGGCATACATACCACATGTTCCGGCCATCAGATTCTGGTTTGTGAAACAATGGTGCTGAGCGGTTCACTAGCCCTCCCTTCGCCATATACAAACGCCAAACCTGCTCATTGCTTACGCGGTTTTCGCTAGATGTAAGCTAAACGGCAGGGCACCCGGTGATCGAATGCAACCAGTTCATTTGCCTCTGTTTATTTGACGGGTTAAGTTTCACAAACGTTTCACGGATCGAATGCTTGAAATTGGTGATCACAATGTTCCACCATGTGGCTTGGCTTATCCACGCTGTTTCCCAGGGCTTTAACTGAGTCTTCATTTAAATTCTTGTCTTATGATTGCATACTACTGTCTGCTGAAGCTTTTGATTCACCATCTCTTTTTACTTTATCGAGTGTGCCCTTTCATTACAGTTAGTCTTCATTGCACTGCACGCTGTACTTGTATTTCGTTGCTTACGTTGGCTAGACCAAACCCTCCGTATGCCCGTTGACCGGCTTCATCGGCGTGCATTATTACGCCGTGGCTACACCAAGTAGAGCGAAACCGCGAAGTGACCAGTCCAGGATGTCGCATAGTGGCATGAAGAAATTGACTGATAGACTTGGCCAGGCTGTTGCGTGCCGTCTTCTTGGTTGGGGGCCTCTGGATGGTCCACACCAATGGTTGCAGACTGTGTCATACATGGCGCAGTCACGAAGTCAGTCGCGATCATGTATTCGGTTTCTTGCATGTAGTTGTTAATTCTCGTTCCATCCTGCTTAGTCTAACGCACTACCTTGCTTCCATTTTCCTTACATTCTGTTTGCATTCAACCACATTTTCTTGTCCCTGTTGTTTATTGATATGCCGGTGACACGAGTCGTGGCAACTGGATCCACCACACTTCGGTTCTCGGATCATAGTTGTTGAACTGCGCTGGACTCATCAATTATTCAGCTTTTTCAATTTCCCAGGATGTCGTGCGTCCTCTTCAGTTGTCTTTCCTAGTTCTTTCGCTCTATTTCTCCAGATGGATGCCTGTCAGGCGAAGGTGAAACATGTGTTCCAGTCCAATCCGCATTCCTCACGAGCGTTGTTGCTATCCATCACACAATTGCTGAGGGAAAAGCAATACTCTCGGGCTATTACCCTTTTGCAAGTACGCACTTTGATTTTGCCACTGATGCCAAACTTAAGTTTCATATAATAGTTTCGCTAAGTGTGAACAGCCTTCGTTTTAACATCCTCTGTCTCTTATTGCAAGTGGTCTTGCTTACCGAGGTGTTTCGGTGTTGCTCCTCCCAGTACCGACATCCCATAACCGGTTTCGTCCTCGTTTGGACTCATCAGATAGAGATAGACTGAACCGGGGTGGGACTCGGAGCTTAATGGTTAAACGCTGACGCCTTGATCACTATGCCTCTAAGATCCGTGAGCAACACTTGATCTTGCTTACTATCCGTTTGAGACACCAGCCGTCTTTTATCTTGTCTCGGCGGAGCCCTCAGTTTGAGTCATTCTTCACCATTCCTGTTCAGCGGAGTTACCAACACACACGTTTTTCGTTCTGCAACCAGCATTATGCTTATTTAACTTCATGGTCTTTTGAGATCTTTTATTTTCACACACATGAACACGTCACTTTCTTAAGCAAGCTATGCGAAATAATTGGAAAAGTATCAAAAATGACGTAGGAACTCAACAAAATATCACAGTGCAGGATGGGGAACTGTACTCTAAGAGATAAAACTCGGAAGTGGATGAACATAGCAGTTTTCATTGTCAACATCCAGTCATTTTTAGAAATATTTGCATAGCCCAAAAGTACCATGTGTTGGGAATGTTCTCGATTGGGTATCACCGTACAAGGGACCTGTGCCTTCGACGATGTTGAAGATGCAGGCGTGGTAAATCAATTGATCCACTCTTTGTGATATTAACCTATGTGCATACAAGAATCGTGGCTCTGACATCGTCACTCACATCAGCTCATCATAGTACACAACTTCAGAATGTGCCATTCAACAACGTAAATTTTACCGCTTTTTCCCAGGGGCTCACAAGATACATAGCACAGCTTAGCCCGGAAAAGCACCAGACGCGTTTCGCTCTATTGGGGCTCGTCAGTGGTATGCATTCCCTCGGTCCCCTACTGCGGATCGAACCCATGACGGCTAGAGGCAGATGCCAACCAGCCAGCAGCTTAAGCCACAGCCATGGGGGGACGTCGGTTAGGCTACATAATTTGCAAGCTGACTGGGATATAGCACGACCTATCTTCCACTGCTTCGTAGGTTACTACCTTAGCACATGAGAGTGACTAGCCTCCGAAAATCATCACTTCGTCCCTAGACGCTGCGTCCATAGCATTTGAAACTAAGAGGCTACGTTTTATGTTACTAATGAGTGGGAGGATTTTAATTTTAATGTTTTCGTCCCAGGAGCTCACAAGCTACATAGCACAGCCTAGCCCGGAAAAACACCAGACGCGTTTCGCCCTGTTAGGGCTCGTCAGTCACCAGCTAAGGTAATAACGTACGTAGCAGGGGAAGATAGGTCCTGCTATATCCCAGTTAGATTGCAAATTATGTTGCCTAGCCGACGCCCCCCATGGCTCAGCGGCTTAAGCTCTTGGCTAGTTGACATTTGCCTTTAATGGTCATGGGTTCAATCCGCAGTAGGGGACCGAGGGAATGCGCACCACTAACAAGCCCCAATAGGGCGAAATGCTTCTGGTGCTTTTCCGGGCTAAGCTGTGCTATGTAGCTTGTGAGCTCCTGGGACGAAAACATTAAAATTAAAAACATCAGTTTTTTACTCGTGAAGTACAGGCAAAGATACCTGAACGGATGTCACTCTATAGCTGTGAAAGCCTTGAAGCAGAGGAATTTTACGATGAACTCATAGCTGCCATTTTTGCACATCTGGTCTGTTCCTTATATGCTTTTGCTACGGATTTCGACAGGTGTGACGCCACATTCATTACCTATCTCGAACTGAAGAACGGCGCATGATCTGCAATCAGGTTCTGGACAACCATAGACCTGATGTTTGTTAGGAACGTGAAAATCTTTTTTGCATGTAACCGGGCAACGCTTGGAATCTCTGCTCGCGCCAATTTAAAGTTATCATTTTTTTTACCCATAACAGAGCGGGCAACAAAGTTTTCACCCGTCTCAACGGTCACAAGTGCGAGCAGAAACGAAGTTCTTCTAGGGTTGGGAGATTTTGTTCTGTCCACCGACTTTATTCTATGACGAATCAAGATATTACGAACAGTAACTAGTTACCTGAACTTTTGCTTCGATATCTGCCGTCCAATGAGAATAGTTTTCATTCGCTCAGATAAACTTTTATTTCAAAGCCTTAAGTGACCGCTCCGACGTAAACGGAAATCATTTAGACGCAAAACGTTTTCTCAAAACTTCTGCGAACTGATTTACAAAATCCAGTCGCGCTGCCTCAGACAAGTGTTCAGTTCAGTTTAGTTCACCAGATTCGTTTTTTGCACCGATGTGCGATCGATCCCAGGTGAACGACTTCTTGACTTGGGATATGTCAATGACGTCGCTCTTATCTGTGACTACTCCCGGACATATCAGGTTACACTGAACACAAATTAGCACTGGCTGTCACTCGTTTCGGGCTATGCTTTGTACCCAAGAAATGCGAACTCCGTATGTTTTCTTGCGGCATATTAGCTGAAGTATGTTGCTCACGTTTAACTTATGTGCATGATGATGATGCGACGATTCAACCTCTTCTTCCGATGATTTCCACGGTATTGTTCGGCTTTATGTCTAGTTGTTAACTTGTTACCAACGCATGGTTGATGGCATCCGGTTCCGAATGTGCCTGTCACTGCGACCTCCATATGACAACCGCAGGACGCCTGCGCCTACAGAGGGACCATGGATGGCTTGCGCTGCACCACCCACAGTTCCAACCACACACCCCATATCCAGTGTAAACTCGAAGGAATAAGACCGGAAGTCATATGGATGGGAGCCACGTTTCATCAACGGAGCCGACCCACACTTCTTCACAGGAAACATAAGCACGCTGTAGTTGGGGATCAAGCACACACAGGACGGTGCATGAACTGTAGCCCGCTACAAACAGATTGCATGGGACCACACTTCGAGCCTAGCACGACCACAAGGATCGTGCACCGCATCCCCTCCAGCAATGACCAACTGTCTCTTCGAGCCACTATTTGCGAGGTAGTGGGTAATAGACAGTTAGGCATCTTATGAACATGCACATCAAACGCAGCCACACCGGGAATGTCAGGCAACGGCCAATCACTTGAAACGATAATATCAAATAAACTGGATCGATGATGCCTACAGATATGCCGACATAGCTCTTCAATAAATAAGCATATGAAATAAATTGGTTGTCAGAAAATCTGCGATAGATTCAAGACGTCAGAAAAAATATTTTAAGCAGTTGTCACAAACGCGCAAATGTTATCAAACTTAACTACAATTAATTTAAGCGACGTGTGCAAGTTAATGGAAGTTAGTTCAAGTAGACCTTAATATAACGAAGCATTAAGACAATATAACAAACCCACCACCTGCAATAAAGAGACCTCGCATACAAGTACGCTTTTACTAAATCGAATGCAGCGTACATACCAACTCTGTGCCGGTTCTGTCTACATTCTCAGCAGAACCCGTCGTCATTTGAGTGTTGGCCCCGAGTGGTCTGCCTGACTCAGGCACCTGCGACCGCACGTGCTACAACACTATGCGCTCGAGGTCGATGGAGTTCAACCCATCGGCGCCTGTCGCTTCCGCAATTGCCGCTTCTTTGCATGCACAAGAGCTTTCTCTTGTTCACCTTGACAACGGCTTTCGTGATCGGATCGCACCATGCACGCCAATCAACCGCTTTCCATTCCCATGACCTGCAGTCAAGATTAGAACGTGAGAGGCTCACTTTGATCATGTCCTGGTAACGCGGCTTCGGTTTCCCCACATGCCGCTTCCCAATACTCAGCTGACCATATAATAGTTGTTTCGGTATCCGCGTCGAATCCATACGCTACACATGACCGAGCCACCTCAGGTGTCTCAGCAAAAGTATGCAGTCCACTGCATACATTCCACTTCGGCGCAACACTTCCGTGTCCGCAACTCTGTCGCACCAACCGATGCGCAGAATCCGTCGCAAACACTGTTGATGGAACCGCTCGAGATATCTCACATCTCGCCGGTACATCGTCCACGTTTCACTGCCGTATAGAAGAACGGACAGCACCATGGATTTGTACACCATCAGCTTCGTGCCAACGGTAAGCTGATGGTTGTTCCACACTCGGTACTCTAGCTTCCCGAATGCCGCCGCTGCCTTCGACACGCGGATACGCAGCTCACTGTGTAGCTGCTGGTCAGTCGACATCACACTCCCAAGGTAGCAGAAGCGGAAGGTGGTTTTCAATATGTCATTACCAATGCTGATTTGCGACACCATTGCAGATTGCACCTCCGGTGAAGGTTGAAAAAGACAGACAGTTTTGTTTGTGTTGTTGGTGAGCCCGTCTTTGGTCACTGTCGAAGCCAGAGCACTAGTCGCGTGCTGCAACTCAATTGCGCTGTGTGCAAACAACGCACAGTCTTCACCAAACAACAACATAAGGATATTTGTCTCCTAGACTAGGATTCTCCCACCGAAACAATGGATACTTAGCAACCCGCCATCAATACTGTGCTCCACACAAACACCTTAAGCGCAGGTCCCATCAAAAGCACATCATTGCATGAACATAAATATTGAACAGCACAGGAGCTATGACACAGCCTTGCTTCACACCAGAGATAACTGCGAAGTCATCCGAGGTCTGTCCACTCAGCTGTACCCTCGTCCGCATACCACTATGCAGACATTCAATTAAACTTACAAACTTACTTGGACAACCAAACTTACCCAACTCCAGCCACAATGTCTCGCGATTCACCGTATCGAATGCCTTGGTGAAATCAACAAAAGCGAGTACAACGGACTGTGTCGTTCTTTTCGCGTCTCCTACAACTGACGAGCCGCAAACACCATATCTAGAGCGTTGCGACCGGAAAGCAATCCATACAGCTCTTCCGCCACGTTAGCTTCTACAACCTGACTGACGAGGCGGTTGAGCGGGCTTCGGGCAATTACCTTGCTCACACAACTCAGCACATTGATGCCACGATAATTCGTGCAGCATTGCTTCATTTCGCACTTGTACAGTAGTAGCTCAAGGGCATCCTTCAGCTTTGAAGACACCTCCTCAATGCACACGCGTTGTACCAAATGGTGCAACGCATTCACAACGCGGGATCCCATCGGTATCGACACACTTGCCGTTCCGCAGCTTAGCATGGGCTCTTTGCGTCTAATTCAGTGTCGGCGTGTATGCCAGTCGCACCTTCACTTGCTGCTTCAGGCCGTTTTAGATAGCCCAGTCTATCTCTGAACGGTTGTTCAAGTGACAAAGTGTTTTTGCTATATCTGCATTATGTCTGCGGCCGGTGTGCAAGTAGCACCTGAACCACCATCTATTAGCATCTTCAACAGCTCCAACATCGGTCCATACACTGCCTTCAAGAAGTCAAACAATTCCTTTTGTTGGCGACGTTCGGCGTAGCGTTCCATCTGCTTCGCCTTCTCCATCCACCATGCATATTTTATGCGACGAAGGGTCGGAGGGTCAATACATACGTACATACAAACTCTCTCTCTCTTAAATTGGCAGCGACCCATTCTTGCGCTGACCCATGGTTGGTATGAACTACAAGTCGTTTAGAAATACTAGTCTCTGGGCAGCTGTATTAGCGCCCGTCGAATCGAAGATGTGTTCACGAACCATATAGCAGGAGCTCGAGCCGCTTTTGCTAATCTCCGCCACCGGCGCTCGCGTGATATCACTTGTTCTGAAAGCAAGAATTTACAATGTAACCATCCGTTCGTTCATCTTATACGGTTGTGAAACTTGGCCCGTTAAGTCGACAGGCATAAAGAGGCTAGTCACACTCGATCGTCGCTGCCTTCGCAGCTTGTTCGGCATCATGTGTTTGGGGCAGGAAGAACAAGTGTTGGTTCTGATCAGGTTACCTTAACACATCACCGAAATACTACTACTTCCACTAATAATGATAGTAATAATAATAATAATAAACTCGAGATATGCGCGAGAATTTAACTCGTTAGGCGGAACAGTCAAAGACTCGATGTGAGGGAGCAAATTCGATGGCACCACTGACCCGTGACTGCGTCATATTCGATAACTAGTTTGCAGCCACTGATGTAAGCAGTACCGTGGTCCTTTTCCAGGAACGTAACCTTAGGCAACCCGACTCAGCCACCGGTGAACTTTCTCGTGCTCTCTTACCATGTCATCAGCTAACTACCCCGAGGGTTTCCACCCAACTGACGGCCCGTAGCCTTAAGGATCACAAACCTGCCTTGTAATCCGAGGGCACGAATTCGAGCCTGCTTGCCGACCGGGCGATGCTCGAGGTATCCATAGTCCACGTGTGACTGACATTGGTTGCGCGGCAGTGAAGCGTCGGTATTGCGTACCGGCGCACTGCTGACGCTTTTTTTGCCCAACTGGGCACGGTATTGGCCTAAGCACTCGGATTGCGGATAAGTAGAACTCATAACCGAACTTGCTCAACAGACGGTCCATTGAGGTCACAAATGCATTGTTGTCAAGCCCAAACTTCATTGATGGTCGTTTCCGTCCTTCGACCGTACGAATCGCAGTTCCCTGGGTATACCAAACCGAGAAGGTTATATAGGTTGATCATTATTAGTGGTACCGATACGAAATCATGTCGGGACTCTCACCATCATTCATCAACGATACTCACTGCTATTGAAAGACTACGATTGTTTCTGTTCGCGGTCGCCTTTCCTTTAGCGGTGTTCATCACTCCATATCCAGACCCTGTGCCAGAAAGTCTATCCGCTTTTGAACTGGAGGGTTTGGCAGATCAAAACGTTGGAGTAACCTTGCAAAGTTCAAGGTATAAATGAAGATGCGTAAAGCGAAATTCAGTTCTTTTCAATGCAAAACAGAACAGGCTGGAAAACTTGCAATAAGTGTTCCGGGTAGGCCTTGTTCTATTGAGGGGATTTTTCTAGTGATATGGGATACCGACTACCGGGACACACACAATGTCATGGACGTTATCACGAATAAAAGCGTCGTTACGATTACCTTGTGAAATCCTGATTGCAATTTGGGACATTTCAACATGTTTGGAGCCTTATTTTGCTTGCCACATGTCGAAACAAGGGGTTGAAGGACACGGAACTCTGCCTTATGTTGTTTTTGATAAAGTCTCAAAAATTAAGTCATTTCCAACAAACTTCTCTTCCCTGATAAAGTACACACATATCTTCGAAATAATTTGGAACACTGGTAGCCCGGCTTGGTTGCTACCTGTTGGTCGTTTTTCCGAGCTTGGTAAAGAGATCGTATACGGTTCACCACCATGCGAGGTGGAATCTTCAGTGCGGTAATAGGCAGTGTATAATGCTGCTTATTGAATTGTCAGTTCGTCACCCACGGGCAAATGACTTGGAGGTGGCAATTTCGATTTGTGCCACGTGATCTCTGCCCATTTGCTTCCACGGCTGAACCCCGTCTTGCGATTCGCCGGAGATCTTTCTTTCTGAGTTCATGGTACACACCTCTACCACCCAATGCGTATGTTTTTTCTACGTCGGCCTGAGACTTGCTTCTGCGACCGACTCTCTGGTCATATGTCCTTTTATCTTCATCACTTTTATCACAGAGTATGCTGTTCCCGCCTCCGATGAATTTATCACGGTTGTTAGATAAACTTCAACCGTGTTGGTCCAAATAGTTGCCCCTTTACATCTTCCAAATCAGAAATTTTCGATTGTGTACGTCTTTATTTCTCACCTTATTATTTCCTCAGAATGACTGTTCTTCAAACAAGGCCTCCCCTGACAACACCGATGGACCCGGCGTCGAGCTTAGCGTTCTTCTAGCCTTGGCCCAACTGTATTTGCGATACAGCAAAGAAAAGGGTCAGTTTTTCACAGGGTGTCCACGTTCCGAACAAGCTCTTTCTACAGATGAATTCTTGTCTCAAAATCTACCCACTCCGTTGCTTCACAGTTCCGGCATTGTTTGTACTCGCATTGCTCTTCACCTGATTGCCTCATCCGGCGATGATGTCGCTTTGGAACGAAAAGAAGCCTTACTCCGAATAGCGGATATCATACAATCGGCTCTTGATTGGTATGAATTCATAGACAATCAGGTACAGTTTGCCTTTGTGATCACTGTGTGGGAGTATTTTTAAACTTGGATTTGTCCGCTTTTTGAATTACCATGTTTTGTTTACATTTTAGCACCCATCCTACGGCGAACTTCTAGAGCACTGCGCAACTTTTCTACTGCAGCAAGGTCAAGCCTCACTGGCTGCTCGTCTTTTCGAACGTCAGCTCGATCGACTTGATGCATCTTCTTCTCATGCGGATGAGAAACAACGATCCGTTGCGAAACAAGGTATTATTGCTCGTTTGGTCTCTGCGTATGCGCAGTTTGACCCCCCGAAAGCCGAATTGGCTTGTCGGACGTTGAAATTCAGCAACCAGTTGACCGAAGCAGATGTGGACTCTCTGGAGACTGTGTTCCTCTACGGCGCAAAGACGTTGAAGCGACATGGTCGTACAGCTGGTGAACATGGGACAACTGGCGAAACGAAGTCCATTCCAGCCGACAAGCAACACGCACCGACATCTGATGTCACGTAAGTTGCATTCACGATTGCCTTTATGTATATAACCCATGCGGTGCTCAGTCGCCGTCAAATTCTTGCGAACAGAATTGCGTGTGGTGAAGAGCCATCAGTGGAATAGATGTATGTTGCCATATCCATCGTGCTCCAGGCTTGTCCGCTCAGCTTATCCATTCTTCTTTCTTAAATTAATAAAATTGATTCATTCTGGAAAGTTTGAATAGCCTACTCCTAAATAGCTTAGCGGCTATTGTACGCCGAATCTTCGTCACCAGCGTCCATTAATCATGCACTGGTGGTGGGGGTGGTCGTGACTGCGATGAATTTCTTGAAATGCATTTACAACTCACTTTGAGCAGTCGCTCCTTTGCTCCGTCTTTACGTCCTGCTCCATAGGCAAAGGAAAAACAGCCAATTAGAACCTATCATACATGGTTTGGCTTCTTCTTATTCTAGCGGAGATTTATCTGCAACATGATCGTAAATGCAATTCACTGTTCCGCTGACACTTTGTGTTGACGAGACGACATTTAGCAACCAACTAGCTCTGTCGCCGACCAGTGATCGTCCTGCTCCCTGGGCTATCCCTTTTGATCCAGCCTCTCGCTCAGAAGTCAAACGTGAGATCGGACTGTTGAAGTTGAACAAGACCGCAGGACCAGATGGTCTACATCCAGCCCTCTTCAAATCCGGGGGCCCTCGCTTGTTGATGATTTACACAAATTACTAGTGGAACTGTACGAGCAGGGAATTGTCCCCACCGACTTTAGCCGCTCCGTTCTGATCTTCAAAGGAGGCACCCATAGAATAATCAGTCTGATCCCCATCACCTGCAAATTACTCGTCTCTGTACTCCTTCACAGACTGACTAGCACTCGTGGAAGCCAGATTCGTGAAGAGCAAGCCGGGTTTCGTCGAGGTCGTGGCTGCATCGACCACATCTTCACTTTGTTGGAGCACCGTCACACATATCGGCGGCCCACCGTAGTCGTGTTCCACGACATCAAAGGTGCCTTCGATTCTGTGGATCGATGTGCCCTTTGCGACTGTCTGCTAAGGAAAGGTGTGCCCAAGAACTATGTAAATATTATCTGTGCACTATACTCTCGTAACACGGGCAGAATGAGTGCTTACGGCAAGCTGTCGCCGCCCTTCAATATTCAGCATTGTGTGAAAAGGATATCCGCTGTCACCTTTCCTCTTCAACTTCGCTATTGATGAAGTCATGGAAGTCGCGTTCACATGACACTGCTTAGAAGTTGTGGAGCTACTCCCAGGAGCACGACGTCTTGATTTGAAGTATGCAGACGATATTGCCCTCATCTGTGACAGCTCCCAGACGTGCCAAGCTGCACTGGACAGGTTAACACTGGCTGTCAGCCGCTTCGGGCTTTGCTTTGCAACATCGAAGTTCAACTCTTTCTTCCATGCTGGGCATGGACCGCCTCTTGCGCTGACACTTGGTGGGATCACCTGAAGTCGTTCGGTAATTCAACTACCTGGGAACTTGCATCAGCGCCCGTGGGATTGAATATGAGACCACGATCTGTATAGCAAATTCTCAAGGTGCTTTTGCTAACCTTCGCCACTTATGGCGCCTGCGCGACATCACTCTCTCCCTGAAGGATAGAGTGTACAATGCAACGGTACGTCCGGCCTTACTGTACAGTTGTGAAAGCTGGCAGCTTAGATCAGCGGACAAAACGTGCCCAGTACCACCGGTGCTTTCGCAGCTTGGCTTCCACCTGGTGAGAACACCGCGTGAGCAACGAGCGTGTTCGACACCTTGTTTACGGCACAGGAAAAGGAAATGAACCGCTCAGCACCGTTATTTCACGCACCAAGCTCCGATGGCTCGATCACGTGTTACAAATTCCAGCCCACCGGCTCCCGCGACTTGGGTTGTTTGAGCGCCGGGGGTGTAGGTGGAAGAAAAGGAGAGGTGGCCAAGCGATGAATTGGTCGAGAGTAATGAAGGCCCTCACTTTGGAGCTGGCCTCGGTTGGAACGTCTCGACTCCCTGGTTGGGGTCCGAAAGACGATGAACACGTCTGGTTAGATACACTTGTTGATATACCTAGGAGCCGACCTCATTGGCTTTCCTGCTGTGCGTATCTTTGTCCCTCTCCATTCCCCTCCAACTGCGATCTCATTTCGTAACATTTTACAATTTTACATAATAATTTTTCTTGTTGCCTAGTAGCCGACTGGTAGTTTTCCGGAACGATGCCCATCCGTTGCTGGTAGCTCAGTTGGTATGCAACTGTTACATTTCTTTTTTTTTCTCTAATGTATTGCGGCACAGTAGCTGTGGTGTTTCCCACCTCTAGCTAACGTGTATACCGATTTTGATGATGTGGTCCTCGTGAGGCTATGACAACGATTCTGGGTTTTTCACCCCTGGAATCCTACCACTGAGCTTTTCTGTTTCACTTAATCTAATTTTTGAATGCAACTATTTTGCTCCTTCAAATTAAGATCTGCACCTCATTCAGCTGAATACTGAGAATTGAGAGCAAGAAGATAAATATTTGTTGCTCCACCGCAGATGGATCGGGCACATACGCTGCTCAGTGGCAGCATATTGCACCTTCACTATACCTTATCCGGGTGCGATACGCTCCCTATACATGTAGTCCACAAAGTGGGCGTCAAGGAATCTCTTAATTTCCGACACCGATTTCACCTCGACTAACGTCTCCGGCAATTTGTTCCGATATTTCACCACTCGACGCTCGATGCATAGTAGTTGAGCGATATGCTTTAAATCCGGTACCACTGGTTTGTACCGGTGTCCGAGTGTGCTTTTTGGTATATATATATTTTTGCAACAGTCTATGAATAGACATTGTACCATCGGAAACCATGGAACTCAAAACAAGGTACAGAAATAGTAAAAGAAAATACAACACAACACATCAAAGTCCACGGTTTCGTCAGAGGGCGAAATACTACCCGGTTGCCCAAGCCGAAGTAGGGTGTTGACTTAGGGGACACCACCCCGAGCCTTTGGCTGAATAGCCTGTCCGCAAGGCAGCGGAGCGAATTCAGGGAATCGCGCCCATTGGGAGCCGGTGACTGATTGATCAGTTCATACGCCTTTCGTTTGTTCCTTTGCCAAACAGGGGCCCAATGCTCCCGAAATTACAGCATCAACTTGCTGGAATACAATGCTTCGCCAGGATGAAGCAAGGGGCAGTGACTTTTTGGTGCACCAACGTGTAGCAGCGGCTTCAAGATACGGAAATGCTCCAGGTTCAGTATCCGGTGCGTCATAATGAGATCAACTCAAAGCCGACGATATCACAGGGTATAAAGCCCTAGTCTCCTACATCGGTCCTCGTACGACGCCCCTTAAACTGGGGATGAGCCAGGTAGCTACATGCTTCGCCCGTTCCACTCCCACCTAATCTGACCGGGCAATAAGCGTGTGAGCCGTACTCAAGCACCGGGCTTATTATGCAAGAGAACAGAGGGGAGGAAATCTCTTCAGACAAACTACAGAAGCTGCGTCTAAGTGCCCAAAACAGGCGTTGTCCGTTTGTGTACAGTTTGTTCCTGTTGTCGACAGACTTCAGATCACAGCGTGAGAGTACACCTAGATCCTTTACGGAACTGGTGGCATGCAGCGGGTGGCCGGCCTGGGTTTTCGCACGCCCATTACTACATCTCTCCATGCTCATAAACGAGGACTTGGCCCTGTCGATCCGTAGGTCATCTTCTGCAGACCACCGGGATAGGCGGTCGAAGTCCTGCTGAAGGACGTCACAGTCGCCGGGAGAAGTAATAATTCTCCAAATCATTCGCAAATAATACGCATGGCGATCGACGAAGTTAAGCTAATTCGTTGATGTGGATCAGGAATAAAATATACTCCAGTTCTGTGTCTTGGGGTACACCGCTAGTGGACGGATACTATTCCGTTAGGTGGTCATCCCCCTGAATCCGCCATCTTCTTCCAGTAAGGAAGTCACTGACCCACTGTTGCGGTGTGCCACCACGCATCCTTAGCTTGTGGGGCAGGACCTCATATTTAACCTTATCGAAAGATTTACTGAAATCAATGTAGGTAACATCCACTGACTTTCCCCGATTCAGCACTTGCAACCATTCCTGCCGTGTCAACAGCAGGTTGGTGATGCACGAGCGGCCCTTCATGAAGCCGTACTGTGCCGGCGTTAGGAGATTTTTCGACTCCAGCAGCTGGAGAAGACCCTTTTTCAAAATCTTCTCGAGCACCACCAAAACAGAGATGAGACAAATCGGCCGATAATTGTCCACAGTGCATGGGTCATCATCTTTTGGAATCGGTTTCACTACTGAGCATTTCCAGTCGCTCGGCAATGCACCCTCGGACAACCCTCTGTTGAAGAGACCCGTTACGGCAGGCGTGATGATGGCTGGTAAGCACTTTAAACTAAGCGGATTAAGTCCATCGGGTCCGGCAAGTTTCGTGCCATCAAGACTGGTGCGTAGACGCCGCAGTCAAGGCCCTCGCGTACAGTAGGGGCTGCACACGTCGGTTACGGCATAGGCGCATGCCCACTTGTGTATACGGAAGCGAAGTGATCCGTCAATGCGGACACACGTTCAGTGCTGCAGGTCAGTGGCTGTCCGTCAGTACCCTCTAACACAGCTACGTCATTTGCGGGTCTCAAGCGCTGCTTCACATAAGCAAAAAACTTCTTGGGGGCCGTCTTTGCTGAGGTTGCAAGCTGCTCTTCGTACTACCGATGCTTTTGCGCTCTTGCATAGATTCCGCTGCCTTTTGTACGCCTCATACTCGTCGGCAGAGTCACTGACGATGAATTTATTCCACAATTCACGTCGTCGTCCAGTCAATTGGCTCTCTGTCGAACCATTGTGGCTTCACTGGTCCAGCTTTCCGATACTTGAGGAGTGCGAAACGAGCGCACAACGATTGCACACCCACTTTTATAACAGACCAACAGGCTTCAACAGATGCATCCTTCGGCAGCGACCAGTCTACTTCACTGTCGGCTCGATTTAGA